CCCTTGTGTTATGTATATAGCCCCTTATGTATGTACATAACCCCTTGTGTTATGTATATAGCCCCTTATGTATGTACATAACCCCTTGTGCTATGTATATAGCCCCTTATGTATGTATATAACCCCTTGAGTTATGCATGTAGTCTTTGTGTCCAGCACCCCTGTTTCACTCTGTGTTCTGTACTGTAAATCCTGTGAAAACCCTCCCCCTGTCACTTGTGTCTGTCACACCGCGCTCCTGGGGGAAGGTTATTTCATGCCGCTGTGTAGCTGTATATGGATGGTAAGACAATAAAACCACTTCACTTGAGTAAGCCTGGATGCCGAAAGCATAGAAGGTATCAGCCAGGACAACCATCGCCGCCTGTAGATCTGCCTGTCTGCAGGTAGCGGTGTATATGTCCGTATGGGTACCTCCGGGTGGGACACAGACCCACCTTCAGCGTGTGGTGGGACACCTTGTCCAGAGCCACGGTCCGGTCCAGGTTTCGCTCGTCCAGCTCCCTCATGTAGATGTCATAGAGCTCTTGGAGGTGGGGTGGCACCAGGAGGCTATGGTCTGCAAACCAAACATGGGGCAGCATTTGCTTAGTCTAGAGGCAGTCTTTACCAGCACGCATTTGGTGAGGCCTCTCAGGTTTAGGGGCCCCCTGTTGGCCACTGACAGTCGCTACACTAAAAGGAGCGGAGGGCCCTAAAGTGACTATTTGAGCGGAGCCCCAGATATATCAAGCCCACCTCTGGCTCAGTCACACCTACAGTCAGAAGTGACATCCCAGGGGAGTTCTTGGGGGGGACATACCGTCGATGAACTGGCGCTGCTGCTGGATGATGTCATCGCACAGTTGCCGGTGGCGCTCGAAACGGCGTACCACAGCCTCCTTCTGCCGGATGACGTTGTCTTTCAGCAGGGCGTGAGACTGCATCTCCGCGTTCTCAATCTCCAGCTCGTGCACCTTGCAGAGCAGCCCCAGCACCTCCCGCTGCTCCTCGGAGCTCACCTGCCGCGGCAGCAGCTCCTCCAGCCGGCGTGAACGCTCCCGCAGCTCCCGGAAGCGGCGCTCCAGCGCCACCTGCAGCGGGGGAGGACTTCATGCGGCCAGCTGTAACACTGCATTGTTTTTGTTGAGTTCTGTTGAGTTTTTACCTTACGACCACTTCTTCTCACCATTGAGGGAGGGAGTTTCAAATTTAATTTTCATTAAGTTTTATATTCAAGTCTATAAAGATGAACACATTTTTACTCACAAATTCTTCTTTGAATTAATAACAAATATTAATATTCACCCACGGGAAGCGTACGGTTCTATAGATTTCTGCATGTATATTCAAAAGAAGGAAAAGTAAAATAAAATAGGTCTATTATTGTACCTTTCATAGAACACCATTAAGAAATGATTATTAAAAATGCCCCCCGCTGACACAGTATATCTTACATTTGAACCCCCCACAGAAAATGACTGCCCAGGCCTGCCCTAGACCTTGCATGAGGTATCTATGCCCCTCCACCCCTAACCCCCCCGGAGCTGACCTTTTCCTTGCGGATCTTCTTCTGCTCGGTCATAAGGGCCACCAGCTTCTGCCTCGCTAGCAGCACCTCCTGACTCTCCCCGCTGTCAGAGGGCGACTCCGCTGAGTCGGACTCCTTCCCGCTGTCGTCCTTGGCCGGGGTCTCCTTGCGGCGCTCCCCCCGTCTCTTCCGGGCCCTGCGGCTTCGCTCCTGCTCCCAGCTGAAGCAGGGGGGGTGGGGGGGGGGATTGCTTGTCACATCAGTAGTAAACATACTCTGTCTGGCTCTCTGTCCATCCAGGCCCCACCAGGACCCTGTACTGAATAAGAGGCCTAGGAAGTGTTTGGATAGATGCCTATAAGCGTGAGGCAGCAGTGAATCACAGTCAAAGTCGTCATGTTAGATTTCCACTTTGCTGGAGGATGTCGTGTAGCTCCTGCTCCAATCCTGCTTACACCCATACCTGTACATTCACTGGCAGCTCAGTCTGGCTGCACTGATGCCTGGTCGACTCCTCGACTGCCCTGAACCTGTAATGTTCTATCTGATCTGTACTTGTACGTCGCTTTTGTACAAAAGCTTCTGCTATATATTATTAATGCAAAACATTTTGCATGACACCAGTCTAATAAATTTTAATGTATATTTTTGTGTGCAACATGCAGCAAAGCAGTGATGGG